AGCTGCTGGTGGCCTCTTGAGTGGGGAGGATGAGCTTTGCTGCTACTGCTGGGCCCCACCTAGGCTACACCCTGCTGCTGCCTACAAAACTCCACCTTCACCACAGGGTAAAGCAGCACCGGAGCGGTCCGTGCTAGGGGGAAGCAGCAGTGGTGGTGGAGCACTGCGTGTGGGGGTGGGGGAAAGCAGTGGTGGCAGGGTGTTCCATGCGGGGGGAAGCATCAGCAGCAGTGGAGCGCCAACCCATGGCTGAATGGAATACGATGGCCTCCTTGAACTTACCATTTTGCCAAATGTCAGAGCAAAGCCTTTCCCGCTAACAATAACTAAGACAGGTGTTCCCGTTTTAAAGTAACCCCACAAAACCCCCACCATTCCCCCCCAAAACACAATCTGCACACCTCCTAAGCCGACACTTAATCAGAAAGTTGCCCAGACCCCACCCAGAGGTGAGTGGCCGAGTTTTGCCATATCCAGAGTTTCGGAAGTGGATGAGAACTACCTTTTAAATGAAGGTGGGGGAGGGGAGGGGAAATTCTTTGGACCGTAGCTTTTTTCATGCTAGTGTTCCCTCAGTTTTTAATCCCATGAAGGTGTTTGGTTATTTTATTAAGCCATTGGTGGTAGCCTTCATAGTGCTGTTTAATAATTTTATGTGGTTGGCTCCCATCGCCTCACTCCCCCGTCACTTCTGCTGAGGTACATCTTGGTTCATGTTTATTCATGTTTATCCTGCCTTTATAAATAACTCAAGCCTAGTACTCTTTCCTCAACCTATTTTCCCCAGAGCAATGACAATCCTGTGAGATGAAGTTTGGTTGTGAGGGAGTGATTGACCTCAAGTCGTTCAGAGTGACTGACTTAAAGTTCTTGCCTAAAGTGGGACTAGAACTCACAATCTCCCTGTTTCTAGCCTAGTGCTTAACCAACAACCCAAATTGCCTTTCATGTTGTCACCTTGTGGCTCTCTTGTTGAAATTCGAGCAATGGAAGTGTTTCTTTATTATTCCTCTGAACAGATCAGCTTAAAAGAGAAGAATTCTTGATTGCGAGACCATTTTAATCTTTCCATTTAGGATTATTACAATTATTTTGAGTTGGAAGTACTGTAGCACTTACCTTCTTCCATCCTTAGCAACACTGAAATGGCTAATAGTTTTGGTGTTTTTATTGTTCTCACAGTCAGATCCAGGAAGGTTAAAATGATCTCAATTATGTGTTTAGTGGTATCCTTCCCAAAGTAATGATGGGTATATCACACTTGTCTTTTTGACTGCACTGTAAAAGTTCAAATCTATATTTTTATGATATAAAGTCATGAAATCCTAATTTACTTTTGGAAATATTGGCCTCAAATTTACTACCCAAACATGCATATTTCTACACATGAGGATAAATAAAATGGATTCTGTGATTTAGCATCTATTGCACAAAAATGTATAATCCAGTATATATCCATACAACAAAACTTTATATTTTTCCCCCACAGGAACTTTAAAGTCCATAGAAGTCAGCTCTTTAGTCAAAGATGTATTTATAATGAATCACCATAGTACAAAAATGTTATTTTATACTATACCAGCAGATAGCCACCAGAAAAGACATTGCTGGGGTACGGAGAACCAGTTATTCTCCCCCTGCTCAATAAAAGAGGAACATCCACTTACCCAGCATGTAATTAACCTGTGGAACTCCTTGCCACAGGATGTGGTGATGGCATCTAGCCTACATGGACAAATTTCTGGAGGAAATGTCCATCTCAGGTTACTACCTCCTTATTATAAATGTGGGCTACTGTGAGATACAGGAGCTGGACTAGATGGGCCATTGGCCTGATCCAGTGGGCTCTTATGTTCCTATATTCCAGCCACTCATACAACCAGCCAGCACTCTACACTGCACAGCACAGGCTGAGGGAAGCAGTACAGGAGGTGACATCAATGAGGAAGAAGTTGATGTGTGTGCTATATGAGAGGACAGGACAAACATGGCATTCATTGTATTGGGATTGTCAGGGGGAACTTTGTGTTGGCTGCTGTCCATAGGAACCAACCTGGGCTCCTGCTACTGGGAAAATGAGAGCTTGTATGGATGATCAAGGTCTGCTCCTGGGTATGGGAATTGTGTGCTACACATTCTATGACCTGCGTGAAACACTTGAGATGATAGAAGGGATGACAAAGGACAGCACAGTTAGTTCTGAAAATGAAATCTTTAAAGAGTGGAATTCTCTGTTAAATAATTTTAAGTCATTGAAAGCACTTGGGATTGCTTTCCTTATTTTGTTTGGATCATCTTATGCTTGTGAGCAGCTGTTTTCAGCTTTGAATTATATCAAATCTGACACCAGAAACAGACTAACATATGACCTGAGTGCTGCATGTGTTGCTCTCAAACTTACAAAGTATGAGCCAAGGTTAGACAAATTATCAGCATGCATACAACAGCAAAATCACATTAATTGTTCAAAAGCATGCCAAATGCAAACTTTTAACTTTCAATAAAACGTTGTTTGTATCATTGAAAGTTCTGTTATTGTGTTTTTCTTTTACGACAAAAGATGTTAATGTAAACCCTAATCCTAACCCTAACATAAACCCTAACCCTAACATAAACTCTAAGCCTAACCCTAAAACCTCAGTATTCAGGTTAAATTGCTGTGTTGGCACTTTGTGATAAATAAGTGAGTTTTTGATTGCAGTTTGGGCATTCAGTCTCTAAAAGGTTCACCATCACTGCTATAGGGCAACCAGACAACTAGACACAAAGACAGTTTTTTCCCCCATGCTATCACTCTGTTAAACAATGAATTCACACAACATTGTTTATGCCCTGGGATATCAAACCACCTAAGTAGGGCTGTATTACTTATTATCCTCATCTGTCCTGTTACCTATTTCCTTAGATTCTTATGACTATAACCTGTTGCTGTATCTCATGATTTATATGGATTGCTTTAGTATCCTATGACTATCACTGAGTGTTGTATCTATTATTTATGACAATTGTATTTTATTATGATTATGATTATTACTTGTTTCTTGTATGTAAACTGAGAGCTTATGCACCGAAGACAAATTCATTGTGTGTGTCCAATCACACTTTGCCAATAAAGAATTCTATTCTATTCTATTCTACTCTATTCTTAAAAGAAGACATACCAATGTCAAAAGATAAAAGTTTTTTTCCATATTTAAAGTAGGCTTTAAAATATATGTACTGTACATCTCATTTGCAGTTATAAAAATATACACTGTTGTGAAAAAACCACTGCCAATACAATGGTCATATTTTAACATTTGTGGTGCATTATATAATCCAAGAGACAATAATCTACAATATCTCTAATTGAAAACTACTACAAAAAATATTTAGACATCAACTGTTTTAGATGCAAGATCTAAAAAGACCTATACGGCAGGAAATATTTGATAACAACATTTCACAAAAATTATTGAGAGTTGGAGGGAGGAGACATTCTACACTTGTTGCAACTTAATCTTAGTGAATTATTTATCACCTCTACACCATCTAATTTCATAATATTTATTCCCAAGTGAGAATAAATCAGATTCAGGCTATGAAACCATTTAGCTTTCATCTTAATACAAATACAGCAAACTGTGATTTTGATTATGACCTAGCAAAATCACATTTATCCATAAATATTAACACATAGGATATTCTGATCATTTGCTTTTTAATAGTTTTTCAGAACAATACATTTTTAAAGATAAGGATACTCAGTAAAGTTTAGTGGGGAAGCTACTAATGGGCACCTGTCTTCTCCAGTGTATTAAAAATCTAGTATACATTCAAATCCCAGTTACAATTTAATACAAACACAGAACTGAAATGTTTTCCATGAACTTCAGTGTAAACTAATGCTCTTCCTTATCTATCCTTATCATTTATCTTTTATTATCTGATTTTGTTTTTTAAAAAGACTGTTCAATAATCACTTTTGTGCAAGACACACTTTGTCAGTAGTCTGATAGGTAAACATTCTTCTTTATTACTAGCCTAACTGATGAAGGAATAAAAGCCACAATGAAAAAGAGGAATGCAGTAATTAGCTATCCTGGATAATAACCTTTTGCCTCAAAACTCTAACATTCTGAATGAATTTGGGAAGGAATATCAAAGGAGTAACAATTAAGAATGACCCCCAGTCTACCTGCTTTTCATGGGACTTAGTTTATCATCTGTTTTGAGAGCATGAAATGTTAAATGGAAAGTACAAATCACAGAAGGTGATAAATCTATTACATAAAGATACAGGCTAAAACTTCAAGATGTAGAAACATATTTTTTATAGGCAAAGAGTGTGGAGACATTTAAAGCATTTCTTTTTTTCATCTGTTTGTAATTGGAAGTTAGTTGTATAACAATCACTAACATCTGTGCCCAGGGATCACTTAACTTTTTAAACTGCATATTATGCCTGATCAAGAATTCCAAAGTTGCCAATTATAGTGTTCTGTCATTTTTACTACATTATAGTTGGGAACAAAGCCAATGTCTTGTCTGCACACTTCTACCACTATAAAAAAATAACATGTCAAAAAATTATTTTCAATTTTTGTGAGAGAAAAAGATATAACTTTTAATCCTTCCTACCATGTCCTACCCTCTGCATGCTATTAAATCTAAGAAAGTTAGAATACAATTTTTTTTTATTTCTTGTACAGTTTTTAGGATTGAGCCGGAGCAGCACAAAGATACAATGTGGCAAAAAATGATTCAATCCATCTTATTCAGAAGGCATTTTGGAATATGCATCTTTTGTTAACTGTAAATTCTTTCTTCCTCTCTCCTTCTCTCCCTACCACCTTCAATTTCTCAAAACCAAATTATAAATTATATAATCAACTTTTATATATGAACTTTCTTGCAGCAATGTTAAATGTAATGGAAAATGTAATGGAAAATAAGAGCTAGTAAAACGTTTCTCATATGTCTTTAAAAAAATGAAGATATTGTAAGTTTTAAGTACTTACGATAAGAAGGGTCCATATAACCATTCCTGGGATCCATGGCAAAAACTGTCCCACGATAAGGTACTGAAGGCTCAGGAAGGTGTGATACAGATCCATGGATCTCCTTTTTGATTAAAGAAGCCCTTTCTTCACTAGATGTGGAAGGTTCTTCACTGATTTTACTGAGGCCTTGTCCACTTTGTGGCTGCATTGTAATTGCGTTTCTTCTCTCTCTGTGATAGGTTTGTCCAGGACTTTCATCCTCTAGGGAAGAAAAGAGAAATTGGGAGAGAAGCAAATGAAACTTTTAGCCCAGCTATGGCATTCAATCAAAGTTTTCTTTATAAGTTTTCCCAGCCCTCTAGGATGATATATGCTGTCTTTAAAGAAGTAGGTACATGTATGGTTATGAAAGAAGTTTTCTAAACAAAACTTATGAGAAGAAGGGGCAAAGAAACTAAACCATTAAATGCAAGTTGGATTTGTGCTGGACAGCATCTTCAACCCATTCCTTAATGAATTTACCACAGAGGCCATTAATCATACAGAAATGCTGACTGGTCCCGCACGCCACATTTCTGGGACAAGAGGGCTTAGAAGTTTTGGGGAAAAAAACAATTTGTCACAAATCACAGAAGACCCCTGCTAGCAGAAACTATATCAAACTTAGCTACCCACTGTGCTTTATACTTCCCAGCATGGTCCTTCATATCCCAAAAGAGAGATTGTTGGAAAGAGAAAGCTCCTTGCCATTAAGGAAAAATATACGTATTAAATAAAAAAATTGAAGTACTTCTAATAAACATGCATTGAACATATGAGACCATGAGGCAGAAAAGTCACAAGGTCAGAATTTACTACTTGAAAAGTTATCTCAGTATGTACCTCAACACAGACCATAAAACATGGTTGGCAAGTGTGTAGATCCAATACAATCAATATTTTTTTTCTATAAGCACAGTAAAAAAGAGAATGCACTTGACAAAGTTTACAAATTGGCACTAGAATTCACAGCAAAATGGTTCTGAAAGATTCCAAGTAGAACTCAATTAGAAATTGGGGCATATTTTTCCCCAGCTAAGAGAAGCAAACTGCTTGCCATATTCTATTTCTCTTTCAGTGGCACCACATCTCATTGAGACACTTAAACAAAATTACTGTAATACAGGTGGCTTGTTTTCATTCTGACATTTAAAAATGCTAGTAACCTCTCTAAAATGCTTCTTAAATATCTGCAATGTCTTTAACGAAAGGCAGTTTCCATATCATATAACTGAAAATACATTTGAAGCATTTTAGGTACTCATCTAAAATATAAATAAGCAAAATTATTTATAAACAAAATCTATCAAATCTGGGAATTACAGTTGCCTACAGTCCCTAGATCAGTGAATATCCATAACAAACAGATGTTTAGATAAGTTTCATATACTGTTACTACTATATAATGTGTGAAATTACCTATGTCCAATTTATTTATTGTAAATAAGGAAGATCAACCTATTAAATTCAAAAATATAAATACGTCTACTTATTGTTTAATAGTTATAAAACACATTAAGAAAAAAAATTAGGCACTATTAATGAAACAATGTAACAATTAGATGAGTAAAACATTATTGAAAGTTGGAAAGAATATAATTTGTGTCATTATAATTTGGGGGGAAAACTACCAGAGGGATTTTTACTTTTTAAAAAGTTTTAATAGGTTTAAAATTATTTCAGATGTGTTATATATTTGGAATACCTAATGTAAACTTTGAAACATTTGAAGCTTTGATGTTACATTAATTAAAATAAGCATTTCTTCATTTGCCAAATGCCATTAATTTTCAAGATTAATTCTCTTGGATTGAAAAGCTGGTCCTGTAAAGTACAAATGAAGGCAAATAAATCTAAGACTTTTTTCTTTATTTGATATATCCAAGAACCTTTTGGTGAATAATAAAATTACAATGAAATATCTAACATGCTTAGAAATAAAACAGACTGTCATTAACCCTATTCTCTAATTTAACCACTTTTTCATAATGTATCCTTGCAGCTTTCCCCAAATTTTCACAAGCAAGATCTATTTTCCTTTGGAGGTGGAGAAAAACGGGGAGAATTTTATAATATTCGGAAAGTTTCAGATAATCAGGCAAAATTAGATTAAAACACTGTGCTAAGTGATCTTGTGTTTAACTTATAAATGCTAGAAAGGTTATGGAGTTATGTTTAATCCCTATTCAATTTACCCCATAATATAATATTCAGGTAAACCATTACTTTGTACTGATCATCCTACCCAAACAACTAACATTTACTAAGAACTGTAGGCGTGAAGTTAATTTCAAAATAAACTGCATGAGATGGTTGATTTTATTTATTATAGATACACTAAATTTTTCAAAGGTTTCACCTTCTTTTCTTCCTGTTGTCCCTCATTGTGACTGGATCTCAATTACTTAACCAAAAGATTTTTTACAGAGGTGCTATACAACTTGAAGCTTCTACAGTCTAATGGGGTAAAGGGGAAGGGAACAGAGTATTTGATGATTCCAAAAACATGAAGAAATTCACATCTCTCTTTCTTTCATAGAAATGGAAAACTGCTGGCCAAAATAATCATTTTTCCTGCCCTTTTGTGGTTTTTTTGTATTAATGAAAAATTCCGATGGGTTAATCTTTAGTAAGAGTTCATTTTATGTCCTGCACTGCAAGAACTTCTTTTCAAAGGGGCAGATGAAAAACTTGACAGTGCACGCACTCCAGAATACAAATAGCCAAGTGGTTTGAAATAGCACTCTCTACACTGAAAGGAAAACTTTTGGGGTAATAATTCTACCAGCTCTTATAACTGCAGTAAAACCACTTCAGTGAGCCAAACAGTGAAAGCTGCCTAATCTTGTTCTGTTTCAGCTGAATTGTTCAATAAAATTTAAGAGTCTCTGCAGACAAGCTGTGCCAGGCCAAATTATTGACAGAAACACACAGTCCACCATGGCAACAAGTGGAGGTCTATAGCAAAAATGTAAGCAAACAAGCTCCTTCTCCAACAGCATCTGCTAATTGAATCTTAAAGCCAGAATTGTTACAGCTTGTCTATGTTTAAAGTGCTGCATCTTCTGCTACCAACAGAAAGTGTCTGTTTTGCTACCCTCTACCAAAGGGAGAAAAAATAGCAAACCAAATGCCAACTGAATGCCACATTAGTTTCAGTCATAACTGTTTCATACATTTCTTCAATTTTATTGTAGCACCAGAAACAGAATGCATTTCCAACATTCCATGTGTTCATTCTATTTGCAAGGACTAAACTGAAGAACATTCAATCATTTAAAACTGTTTCTAATTCCAAATAGCACAAAACATATATTGGAAAGGGACACTTTTTCCTCCAATACAAATGGCTTGAAACAAGAATATACTGAGCATGTGCAAAGTGTTTTCTACAAACCTAATTTCTGAATCTAGGGCAAGTCTTCCATATCAGAACTGTAGATTCCAGATATATTGGAGCATTAACATTTCTCATTTTTCAAGCTATGCTTTTAATGACAAAATATACCAGGACACAGTCTTTCCAGTATATGTCTTGATTGTATGCAATGATATAAACAGAACCAAAGATAGAATTTATTTAGCTATATTTATCGCCAAAAGTCTTTGCCCATCAAAACATATGATTATAAATATTCATGTTGATCAGCTCACTTTGAAATATAGAAAAACACATGCATACAAATAATGGGTATGTCCATATGTTAAACTTAGTTCAGTGAACTTTTCTCTTTTTTTACAGTGGCTATAACAATACAAAAGACAAATGAAATACAGTTTTTTTTTAAATTTAAAAAGGATCTTCATATGTTTAGTTGAAAGAGAAAAGTATTAAATTTTAAACTGCATTTGTCTTTATTGATGTTATTATGTTGCAAGCAATTAAGGAGAATCTATTAGTTGTGATTCTTGTAGGACACCCAAAATATTAAAGTTAGGCAAGGTACTTACAACTCAATTGAAAGTCTCTTTCTTTGCTTTCTGGAAGCTCTTCTCTTCACTGAAATTTTCTAGCTAGTGCTTTCGTAGCTCTCTCACTTTCTGCCTCTAGTTTTCCCCCCCCCCCTCTCTCTCTCCCTCCCTCCCTCCTTCTCTCACAGAGGGTGTGCTTCTCCCATCAGAGGAATTAAAATTGGTTGGTGCCATGCTAAATTTAACAAGCTCATTGGTATTCTTCTGGTGTGCTTGGTAGTGAACTCTCCCTATTCAAGCAGCTCTCTCAAGCCAAAGGGTCAGGCAGCTAATCACTAAATCAAACTAATGTCACCCTATCACAATCGGCTAAGAGAAGGAGGGTTTATTATTTCAGTTTATGCTAAATAAACGGTTATACTAATGGTGTTCAAGCAAGGTCAACAGCATCTTCAATTATAACACAAACTTAACACGAGTTGTTCTAAACCAAAGTGCTCTGTATTGACATAAGCATGAGCTGTGCTCTGCAGATTGCCACCGGCAGGTTTGTACCGGAATGAATATTGTACATTTCTCCTTCGTTGTCATCTTCTTTTTAAGCAAAAGGTAATCTTTTCTTTGCCAGAATTGGTGACTTGCGTAGAGACTGCTCATTCACCTCTCCCCAACCAGCAAGCTGCTCAGCTCAATTCACCTCACACAAAGGCTGAAGACTAGACCTCAATGGACCGAGTGAAACATGTTCAAAACTAGGCTCTCTATTGTGACTGAAATTCTTAACATCTTTTCAAAAAGCGGAGAATGCCTTGAGGCTAAAGGAAAAAACAGGCTAATGGTGAATTGGGAATACTGAGCAAATTTCAGAGCCCCTTCCTCCTAGCTTTTGAGGTTGAAAGCATGCTCTATCCTTTCATGTTTCAAAGTCCTTTTTCCTCCCGCAGTGTCACAGAAGGATTTGAAAAGAAGGTAATTGTGCTCACAGTCTCCCTGATCAGAGCTTACGTCCTATTTCTGGTATTCTGGAATACTTCTCGCAATAATGGTGCATATAGCCCAATCCCTTTACCAGGCTGCACTCAGCAATTGCTCATTAAATGAACAATTGCTGGTATAAAATGCCTTTTATGTTCAAGGTCTGGATATCAGATAAGTATTCTAGTACTCAAAATTTCATTTACTAAGGAAACTTGCCATCATTAAATTACCAAAATGGAACCAGACACTAGTACTCTTCCCATAGAGTAGCACTTATGGCAGATACATCCAACTCTTCTTTCCACTTAAAAAAGTACAATGCAAT